ACTTTGTGGGGTCTGCCACGCCTCCTTCTGCCTGTTACATAAATTTCAACAAAACCATTATACCCTGATTTCCCATTGAAAATGGGTTCAGGGTATCAAAATAAAACGCCAATATTAATGTCTAACTTATTTCCGACTCAACTATAATTAGGAAACTGACACTAATCATGACGGACTTATCAGTATGGATGAATTCATGCAACAGACCTCAAAGGAAGAGTTTCAGAAAGACCCTGAGTGGAAGACTATTGATCAACAGCCTCAATTTACGCATGAGGAGTACTTGGAGTTTGAGCGACGACGCCAGGAAGAAGTACAACACATGATTGCTCAAGGCCAACTACCCCCACATCCCAACATGCCGCAAGGCTACTACGCAGTGCCGCCAGCATCATTTCAAGCACCTGCGCAAGGTGCTCAAATGCATTATCAGCAACCGAATCAATTACTTGAGCAGCAGCAGCAACAGTATCATCATCAACAGCAACAATACGCTCAACAGCAACAGTATGGTGGGTCGCAGCCCGTTCCAGCTTATCAGCATCCACAGCCGCAGCCGCTCGTCTATCAGCAACCAAGCCAGCAGCAGCAGCCACTGCCTACTTATCGGCACGTACAACATAATGGTCATCCTGAGCAAGTTTCTCTGCTTCACCAGAGCAATAGTGAGACACCTTCACTTGTGCAAAAACAGCAGCCTCAAGACAAATTGCAGAATGAGCAGTCCACACAACATCAGCAAAGATCCCAACAACAAAATTAAGAGCATTAAACTAATCATTCCAATATTGCATATTCCGTAAAACAAAACTATAATTTAAATTTTCGGTGATTAAAATGTATTAATGTATTTCATTAAAAAATTAGCTGTTGAGTACAGCAATCTGTTACCATAATGGTTTTTTCTATGCTTCTCAAATATACTTGAAAATAATTTAAGTAATATACGTTGATAATAATGCGAATGAACAAAACAAAATATAACAAGTAAGAAAGCTGTAGTCGAGACTGCTCGACAACGAGATGCCCTCAACCCTTCGAGCAACTGATATTTTAATAATTCTTTGCGTCTTTCTGCGTACACAGGAAATACACACACACAGACACATATAGGCACGCACGCATGAGCTGCAATGTCGGCTTACTATGGGAACTTAATTGTTTGATAACTTTCCTTGTGGATGTACTTTCTTCATGAAACTTTAGATCGTGATTATAGCATTAAGGTGCGTGTATGTGGAAAATCACAATTCTATAGTATTTGAAATACGACTTTTACAAAGGTGTGGTTGAGGGCGTAAATTTGAACAAAATTCGAAATATAGATCAGATCATTCAGATTAATATTGGGGAGGAGAGGAAGATTGGAGATATAATTAAATAGCTTATCAATAAAAATAACGGGAATAGTTATCGATTTTTTGAGATAAGCTCGATATCCGCGCTATATATACGGGCATTTAAAAAAAAAATTTTGAAGTCTCTAGCTCCTATATCTTCTGAAACCGACACGTTCAAACATACCGCCAGACAGACGGAAGGGCAGACAGAGGGACAGGGCCAAATCGACTCAGCTCGTCGCCCTGATCAAGAATATATATATTGTATGGGGTCTGCCACGCCTCCTTCTTCCTGTTACATACATTTCAACAAAGCCATTATACCCTGATTTCCCATTTTCAAGGGGTTCAGGGTATAAAAATAACAACAAGTAAGAAAGCTCTAGTCGAGACTGCTCGACTACGAGATCCCCTGAACCCTTAGAGCAATAGCTATTTCAATAATTATTCGCGTCTTTCTGCTTACACAAGAAACACGCACACACGCATACATACACACACACAAGCGCGAAAAGTTTTGTCACTAGGCGTCACACTTGCGCAATTAATAAAAATCAGGTGCATTCACTCTAACAGCTGTTAGTAGTGCTGGAAATTGCAG